TCACTTGTGTGCTGGTCGGGGTATCCTGCTCCGAGAACCTCAACAGCTACAAGGGTTTACCTTCGGGAGTGCAGGCGATGGGCATGGCAATGGCGTTCAGCGGCCTCGCTCTCTTCTTTGCCGCAGCCATATTCCCAGACGTGAGAGACACACACCATCTTGACTTGTGCAGTGAACGGCTTCCACCCTCTTTGCCTGTGTACGTGTCTGCAGCGCTTCGGTGCCAAGAGCCTGTTGAAGCAGCACAAGCAGATGCACATAGAGCCGTCCCCGCCCTCCCTCCCGCCCCCTGTGTGTAAGTCCCCCCTGGCCCTTCCCACCGAGCCAGAGCCGCAGTCCGTCGCCGACGCGTGTCTGTCGAGTACGGAGGAGCAATCGGGCGAGCGGTCCTCACTCAACAGCGTGTCATCTCCGGGCAGTGAGGGTGGCAATGCAAAGAGGCCTAAAGCGTCCCTGGAGAAGGGACTGAGTCTGAGTGACCACTGCTGACGGATCTTCTGGATCGACCGATAATGGGAGCATCGTATTGATCGTATTGCACTGTCTGGTATGGGTCTTTTTGTGTATGGTGTGCGAGGTGGAGTGGCGTGTGCTGGGTCATGGGGGCGTCTTGTTGAGTACATACCTTATTCTTGCCTTTGTTCCAGCTACCTAGGCAATGTTTCGTGCAGTCAATGTTTCATGCCAGGCAGCCGACGTGTCCGTCTTCGTCCATATGTTTCTGCTCTCTCTGTGTGTGTGCAGAGATAGCATCAACCGATCAGCAACCTATCTCCGTGGCCCAACAGGTGTACTGAATGAGCCAGCCAGTTTTTCCTGTCTGTCGATAATGAATGCACTGTGTATGTCCTCGTCAGTGAGCTTCTCCATGTATGCGTCGCACACATCATATGCCGCCTGTCACTGTCTGTCAGTCATGTGGGGGGCATGTTAAAGACACGTCGAGAGACAGGGGATCGGAAGCTCAGACAAATGGGGGGCATGGCAAAGAGGGCTGCTGTCGCATACATACACGAGTAGTTTTTCTCGCGTTGGGATCGATCGATCTCGTTCAAGAGACTGTTTTCCTTTTGCTGACTGATGGGAGTGCCACTACAGGGATGCAGAGAGAGGGGCGGGGCGGGGAGGGGCGAGATGAAAAAACATGTATACCACGTGTATCATTGACAAGCGACGGACAGCCGAAGGGCCGTCATCGATTCTCATTGCTGTATTAGATATATCTATGTACGCATGTCGCGGTGTTTGTCAGTCGATCCGCTAATTGTTAGATATCCTTTTGTGTTGATTGCTGTTTCCCGGTGGTGTCTGTGTGGTTGTGTCGGTCGGTCATCTTGTACAGTATATACCCTCTGCCCTCTGCCCTCTGCACGTGCACACGTACACCTGCGGTGTTGCCGCCGTGAACGAACGAATGGATGAATATGATATGGCTGCCTGCCTTTGTCTATCGGAAACGAACCATTGAAACGTAGAGAGTCTTGCGCATGGATTCACACATCAACCATCGCACAGGTCGGCGTCTTTCGATAAAAACACGTGATTGCTCTCAATTTGGCGTTCATCCTCTCTGTGTCTCTGTATGGGGTCTGTCAGAGTGCATGAGCACTATGGGCGTGTTGGTCCCCAACATCCTGTACTACGACATCGCCTTACAAGAAGGTGGGTTCATGATGGATGGTTTGATGGATCGTGAACGTGTCTGTGGCCACAGGCGTGATGTATCCGTGGAATGACGCCATTGCACGCAAGGTTGAGGGGTTGGTGTCGGCGCAGCGTGGCGGTGCAGCAGTCAAGGTAGTCGTGGACCAGTGGAATACTGGCTGACCAAACGCGTCCCCCTGTCCCGGTCTGTCTGGGTCGGGCCAAACTCGCGGGCATCGTGCTGTGACCGACTGACAATCGACAGAATGATTGAATGACAAACACACAACATCATCAACTCATCGTCTGATCGTCTTCTCGTGTCTTGTTGCGCTGCGTCCGCTTGCAAGACGCTGCAAGAAAAACTCATCTCATCCAGACGAGCTGCTGCATTCACATACACACACACGGACACTGTCTCAACAAGTAAGGCACCCACCGACCCCACACCCACGTTCATATCATCTCTCAGCCACTCCCCTGCCCGTTGCCGTTTCGCGTGCATATGCGACGGCCTTCTGCATGGCCGCCACGGCCTTTGGCGGCCAACGCACTTTGCCCTCGAGAAACGACCGCTGCGAATAGTCCTTCTGCGCATCGGGCGACAACAGCCGAAAGAAACGAGCCGACCCTTCCTTGTCACCCCTGCACCCACACACACACAGTCGGCAGGACATCGTGATCCCAAGCGAAAGCACGTCTGTATGCCTGACTGATCGGCAGAGCGGAGCGACCGACCTGGTGAAGTAGATGGCTGAGGTGGCGGCGTTGACCTCGGCTGCATCGGGGAATTTGCTCTGCACTCGTCTCATGATGCCGAAAGACTCCAACACTCTGTTCTGCTCGAGCAGGGCCAGGCAGTACCTCAGCCAGAATGGCTGCGGGTCCGACGCGAGCAAGCCCACCGCACCCTCGTAATCGGCAGCTGCCTCCGACCATCGACCACATTGGTCCAAAGCCTGCCGTGGTGGGCAGACAGACAGGCGAATGCTCCTGGTGGGCAGAGTGTTGATGCCGTCAGGTGGCTGACCTGTGCTCTGGATGTGAGCACTAATGCGTCCGGCCTGCCCCTCAGCCTCTTTGCTTCGTCCAGGTCCTCCACGGCCTGCATGAATGCATGTAGTTATCAACACCAACACGTCCCCTCCTGTGCGCTTCTGTTGTCATTCACTGACTAACCGTGGAGCACTCCTTCAGCGTCAGTCGTATGTTGCCCCTCTGCAGATAGACTGTCCACAGGTCAGACGGCGTGGCCCTGCCCTCGCGGAACAGATCGATGGCCCTCGTCAGCTCAACGAGGGCCTCTCTTGGCTCTCCACGGTTGGCCTTTGCGGTGCCAAGACTTGAGTAGCCATACGCATAGTTGGGGGCTGCTTTGGTGACCCGCTCCAGCAGGATGACGGCATCGTCCCACCGGCCCTCCTCAAGCGCAGCCCTCGCCTTACGATACACTCCTCCTGCACCACACACAACACAGGCAGCAGAGCAGAGAGGAGTGGCATGGTGGAACACGGACACGTTCGCCTATTTTGTCTTCTCCTGGCTTGATTGCCCACCTGCCTCTCCAGATATGCGAGTAGGGTCGACAGCCACAGGATTCTCAGACAGCCAGACGGTCGATAGTCCTGCAGTGCCCTGGTCGCCACTGCTGAGATGGGAATTATGGCCATGGAGCCCGGTCGGTGTCAGAGAAGTGGACGCCTCTGAGGCGGGCATGATGAAGATAAACGACAGCAGGAGCAAGCCAAGCCGCAGGGCATCCCTCAGAGCCGACGGCATTGCTGCATCATCCAGTCGGCATCGTTGCTGGGCTTCTGCGACAGGTGATGTGCTGAAGCGTTGTGATGAGTGCCGCCTCCTTGCGATTGTTGAAAGCGCACCAGCCCTGACAGATGGCAGTTGAAATGCAGGCCTTAGCTGGCGGCTGCGTTGCTGCGTGTGAACCTCATCCCACGATGCGGTCTGGACCATGAAATGAGCGAGGATAACGATAGCGATGGCTACATGATGCACGGCCTTCACCATAGAGCTGCAAACACCTCAAAATGAGCAGATCTCTTCAGCCAGCTAAGCTCGCAGCTTTGAGCTCGCACTTAAGGCTGTGGGGATGTCATTTCGCAGCCTCTTCAGCCGCTCCTTAGCGGGCCCATCGAGATACGTCCAGAAGGCGCAAAGATCTGCCACGACCCTCTCGCAGCCCTCTTCCCTCGCCCCATGGATCAGCCCCCCCTGTGCGTTTGGCGGCCCATCTGCCATGAGCGTCTTCGCCTGTCGTCGCCTGAGCACGAGCCGGGTGCACCACATCCCATTGCCTTTGTTTGAGGAGGCGACCAAGTTCTTCTTGCGGAAGCCGAAGATAGAGGGCGCGACGTACGACGACATTCAGCTCAAGGAGCCGAGCAAGGACGACCTGGCCAAGTTCAGCAAGGAGAGCGGCAAGTTCCTGCGGTTCCTCAAGATCTGGTGCGAGGAGGACGGCCGCGGCCAGCAGTGGGTTGAGTACGTCAAGCAGTACGACACGACGGGCCACCTGACCGTCGAGCGCGACGTATACCTGACGCGCGATGAGGTCTCGAGCGCCATGATCGAGAGCGGCTACGACTACAAGGAGGTGTACGCCCTCGAGACGTTCTTCTCGCCCGACGACAAGTTCCACTACCCCGAGATCAGCATCCTCTTCAACATCGACGAGCAGCACACCTACGAGTACTGCATGCGCGTGCGGGCCAGGAACCACTCGGTCGTCGCCGTCAAGGAGGAGAGACGGCCGGCCCTCGTCCGCAGCTACGCCCTTTTCTTCGCCGCCGTGGCCTTCTTCTTCAGCTACACGCCGCTGTCGAGCTACATCTTCATCGGCAAGCTCATCCCGTCGACGCTGCTCTACTACTTCCTGGTCTTCCAGGGGCTGGGGATGCCGCTGGACGCTGCGATGCGCCAGATCTCCCGGCTGGCGTGCGAGAAGCAGATGATGACGGTGCTCGACGGCGAGGAGGCCATCGCTATGCGCATGAGGGACTTCGCCCAGGACGGCGAGTGCCTCAAGTCCCTCAACGAGTTCAAGGGCGAGGCCCAGGCGTCCCTTATCGCCTACCACAAGGCCCTGGTGGTGCGGCAGAAACAGGCACTCAAGGAGAAGCTCAGCCGGCAGCTGCTGTCCATCCAGCAGGCCGAGGCGTCCATCGGCGCGTCGCTGCAGGACGTCATGGTCAGGGAGCTCGTCAAGATGTTCCGGGAGACCTTCCCCAAGGACGCACAGCTGCAGGACGCCGCCCTCAAGAGCGCCATCGCCAACATCGCCGGCGACAAGGTCCAGGACCCGATCGCCGGCAAGTTCCTGTCGGCCCTAAAGGACCTCTCAGCGGCCGATCTTGAGAAGACCAAGGGCAACGAGGCGGGCACTTTGGTGGAGCGCGTGGCGGCCGTGTTCCAGCAGAAGGAGAAGGACTTCCTGTCCAACTTCACTGTCAAGGGCGAGGAGGTCAGCGAGCTCAAACAGATCATCGCCAAGATCAAGACCGGCACAGCTGACGGATACGACTTCAAAAAACTCGACACGGCGACCTCTCAGGTGCGTCCACGAGGAAGAGACACCCAACACACACTCATCCATCCATCCATCCATCCATTATAACGCACACACATGCTGTGCTGTCCTGTCTCTCTGTGTGTGTGTGTGTGCAGAAGCTGGACTCGCTGTACTCGTCGATCAACGCCCGGATGGGTTTCGACGTGGCGGACGAGCGCATGATAACCGTCACCACCCAGGACACCATGCCCATCCATGACGCGGGAGCCGCCGACTTCGTCGAGGCCGTCAACGCCAAGGTGGCTGCCTCGGCGGACAAGATCCGCACCAACCGGCTGACGGCTTTCCTCAAGGCTTTCGACTGACTGACTTGTGAGTGAGGCGGCTGTGGGTGGGTGTGGGTGTGGGTGGGAGGCTGGAGCGTTTTGGTTGGTGGTGGTGGTATATGCGGTTGTGCACACGGACGGATGTGTGAATGGTGCATCCGTCAAAGCAGTCAGTCGTACTTTGTGTGAGGTCAGGTGGTGGATGGCATGGCCACATGGCTGCCGGCCGGCCAGCCAGCCGGTGTGGGGCAGAGACGCATGCACGCAAATTCCTGTGTGTCGGGTGACAGCGAGCGCGGCGTACAAGTGGGTGGGTGGGTGACGTGTTTGCAGCTGTCATGGGACCGACCATTTATTATCGACGACTGGCTGCTGAATGAGTGCAGTGAGTGAATGGCTGAGGTCACCGTACTCACGGCAAATGCATGCGTGTAAGAGGCACACCCAGTAAGTCCACACACACACACACACACAGAGAGAGAGAGAGAGAGACACAGACACACAGCCCCGTGCGACTGGGTGTGTGTCATGACCATTTAGCGACTATGAATGCATGGAGGGGGCGGCACTGCGATGCTTGCTGAGGTGCGACGGGAGAAGGAACGGTCAAGGACTCACGCCATGAAAGGTCTTCTCAGTTCGTCGAGGTCACCGAACGGGTCCAGGGTTTGAACCCTGGACCCAAGCAGCCGTTAACGACAACCTTCGTACGGAGTGACTGGACGCCGCCCTTCATTCCACCGCCTCATGGCGTTCCTCTCCCCGAGGTCCATGCTCTTTCTCCTCTGCAGTGTCGTGGTGCTTTTCGCCGCCTCGGCCACATTCGATTCCCTGGCTGATCCGTCTTCAGACTTCGTGGGTCCTGGAACCAACGCGACTGCCGAGTCTTCGAGTTGCAGGGGGCTTTTTTCTGATGGCTGTGTAAGGCGCGGCTGTAAGGTGCGATTCCTCTTCGAGCTCACCCAGTACTGGGTGGACGGGGACCGCACTCCGCGACCATATGACCCGCCGGTATGTGTGTGCCAGCAGATCAGATCAGATTAGAGCAGACCAGTCCTCCCCTCCCCTCCCCTCGTCAACCCTTTCCCTCTTTGGCTGTGCATATATACAGAGAATCATGGACATTGAGTTCCACTCGTATCCCTGGCGATGGGAGTGTTCGAGTGGTTTCAACCGTGCGCGAAGGGATGCCTCCCTGGGTGCAGAGGCATGCCTCGTTGCAATCAGGGACACCTTCTACACCGAGGCCTTCGACGGGTGGCCTTCCCATTCTTCCGCGTGTGGAGGCATGTGTATGGAGCCGCCGCAGTTCGACCCACAAGGCAGCGGCTCGTTCGCCGAAGCCATCGGCAAGCGGGTCTGCGGCTGGCTTCCCGGCTTGCCACCGGCGGTTTTTATCGGTAGGTCTCAGAAACCACCCTAGGAGGGAGGGAGGCCTGGGACACGTCAAGCACTCACTCTGGTTGTGTGGATGGATGGTTGGATGGTATGCTGCAGAGGGTTATGTCATCGCCAGGATTGAGGGAGATCGCTGCTGCTACCACAGCCACAGATGCTGTCCTGCGCACCTCGGCTACGGCGCCGACCGGTGTTGGCCGGCGAGTTGGCTTCTGAACACTGAGGGCAGGCGCATGCAGGTTTCGCCGGGCAAGATGTACTATAGCTGCCAAACAGGGAACGCTGGCCCCATGTATTGAGGGGGGGTCCGTCCGCGTGCATTCTAGTCAGCTGTCTGTTTCATGTGTGTGTATTTGGCTTTGACGGATGGATGGATGGATTTATGATGAGGTGTGTCTGTGTGTGTCTCTCTCTCTCTCTCGGCACCCATGGCAGGCAGCGTGCTGCATTGTGTTGGCTGACGGGTGACGTACGGGACACACTTACATACAGAGAGAGAGAAGGTCATCAATGGCTGTGGGCGTTGCCACCGTGACTGTGTGGCTGTGTCTTGTGTGTCCAGCCAGCCGTTGGTTGACCTACGTACGGGGCAGTCACTGTTGGCTGGCAGTGTGGGGGCGGACGGCCCATGTCATGGATGGATTTGTCGCGTGTTCATGGTGTCTCAATGTCTCTATTTTTCGTCCGTGTGTGGTGCCTATGGCCTTCTGGGTATGACACACACGCTTGTCCGTCTGCCTGCCTGCAGAGAGAGGGAGAGAGACGTGCAAGTACGTGCCATATATTGGGTCTCATGTGTGTGGGTGTCCAAAAGCAGCGAGCCGCTGAGAGGTCGACGGCACACGGCATACATGCACAGCGAGCGCTTCATTCGTCCGCCGTGCACACCACACACCAGTGATGTGCCAACTAATTCAATTCATCAGAGAGAGACACGCACTCTTTTTCCGCCACATTACATACCATATCTGTCTGTCTGTGTGTCCGTGTGTCTGTGTGTCTGTCCTTAAGGCTGTGCTGGTTTGCAGACAGAGTAGAGGAACGGCAAGCGTTCGCCTCCGTGACGCCTGCCCTTGTCGCTCACATGGATAGATATGCAGCGCGGCTGGTCTTATATATCATAGTCATTTTACCCGCCCTGTTGTCATTTCATAGAAAGCCCCTCCCTACTCGTCGACGCTGTCTGCCTGTCTGTCTGTCTGCTTCCATGAGGGTATTGAGGGGGGGCTGTTCTGTCTGTCGGATGGTGGGTAGGACGCGACAGACCATCTGTGACGGTGATTCTTGTAGCACGATTGGCGGTGCCTGGTCTGCACAGACACGCCGTGAGATGAGCAGCGTGTTCGAATGATGATCAGTCAAGTGATTGATGTCAGTCACACTGCAAATCGCGACTGTGGGCGGTGGGAAAGGTATGCACGCTGATAGTGATTGATTGATATCTACAGCGGCGTCCGAAGACAGCATGCACTGCCCAAAACATGGCAAAAAAGGCGGATGTATGCTCACGTCAACAAAGCCGCTCACCCCTACCGCAGAGTAGTGCCACTCAAAACACGACAGCTGGGTGCCTGCCTGCCCGCCCCAGAGGCTCGGCCGGTCTGCTCACTCATCTGTCTGTCTGTCTGTCTGTTGTCTGTCTGTCTACACACTAGCTGGCTATTCACACACTGGCAACTGTCTCCCTCCTCACCCCATGCCCTCAAAGCCCTCCTCCTCGGCAGCATCACCTACCGGCCGCATCTCCATCTCCACGGTCAACTGGGGCTGGCGTGGCCGCTGTGCGTACCGGCGATTCGATGATTCCTCCTCATCGAATCGCTCGTAAGCCAGTCGCGTCACCTCCATGCCATACTCGGGCATGTCCCCACGCACACGGCCCTGGCGGAACAGCGAATCGAGTTGGCTCTTGATTTGGTCAGCGTCGCCAGGGGCGGTGAAGATGTCGGCTCGCTCGCTCAGTTTGAGGGTGGCGTGCTCGGGCCGCAGCTCGTGGACAAGGCGGAAGAGGTCCCGCAGCAGCTCGGGGACGCTCCCTGCTGTCGGGTTGTAGATGTCCTGGTCGCCCATGGGGTGGTCGATGGGGCTGATCTGCATGCTGAGGTCTTGCACCGCGGGGTACTGTCGGGGGGTGTGGGGGGAGGGGAAGGCGACCGGGGCGGCCGCCTTGGTGCGAGGTCGGCTGAAGGACAGCGGTTTAGCACGCCGAATCGCCAACTTCTGCGACCCAAGTGAGAAGGACTCATTCCTGAGAGGGATGTGCCATTCGTATGTGCGTGTGTACCTTGAGTGGCTTTGCTTTGATGCCTTGCCCGATGTACGCGAGCACCTCTGAGGCCATTACGCCTCCCCCAGTCGACCACCTCAAGTGCACGTGTGTGAGTGCAGGGAGGGATGAGAGGAGGCGGGAGAGTCGGTTGGGCGTGGGGGGCGGGATCAGGTACTCCAGGTCGCATGTCGAGACACCTTTCGGGCCACCAAAGTCAATCAGGTGGAGCTCCGTCACGCTACTGAACACAAGAACCCATCCACACACACACACACACACACACACAGAGAGAGAGAGAGGAAATGACGCAAGCGCCTGAGTCCCCCGTGTTGTTCGTCTTACTCACCTAAGTGACTTGAGGGTGGTCTCCTCGGTCAGCCACGGGGGAATGCAATCGAAGCACTCAGCATCGACATCGGGTCCGGCGGTGGTCAGTTGAATGTTCAATCTCGTGGCGCTATCGAAGCGGATGCCGCTGAAATACGGGCTGGTGGGAGAGGGCGACTCGATCCAGCATCCTTCCAGCATCACACCGTCGCCCCCTTTCGCGTGCCGCTTGAAGGTCTCCACCAGCTTGAGGGTCTCGGCGGTCGGCGGGCCCTCGGTCATCGCGCCGCTGCAATCTATGGATGTCGTGCCTCCCTCCCTCACCACCTCCCAGCCCATCTCCTCTGCCGCCTGAATCGCCTCCACCGAGCCAGTGGACCACTTGTCTAGGTTGACCAGGTCACGGACGATCTCAAGTGGGCAGGTGACCTTGAGCTGGCGCTTCCTGGCGGCTCCCGACGGGGAGGGGGAGGGTGGAGGGGCCGCACTTGCGCTGCTGGACGAGGCCGCCACACTGCCGCCGCTGTGGGGCGTCAGCTGGCGCAGCAATGTCACCACCATGCTGGTCTCCATGTTGCGTACCACCGTGTTGTGGCTCCCCAACAGCTTGAGGTGGCCGACGTGGTGCAGGTTCCTGAGCGATGAGAGGGCAGCGGTGGTGAGGGGCACCACAGAGCTCTGGTCGTCGAGGACGCTGCCCTCCCAAGCAGGGCAGTACAGGAGCGGGAAGATGTCCAGGTGGCTGAGGGCGGGGGACGATTCGAGCATGAACGCCAAACTGCCATCAAATTTGGGAGGCGTTGATGCCCACTCGCCCACGTCCTCGGAGAGCATCGCTGCGGCGCGCTCTGCCTCGTACCCAGAGAGGACCTCGCCAGTGAGCCGTTCAAGTGCCGGGCAGACGAGCTTCTGCTGCTGGAAGAGATGGAGTCCGTCGAGGCTGTCCACCGCAATCGACCTGACACAGGGAAACACCGCGTCGGGCCCCTTGACCTGCGCCACTGGCTGGTCGCTCGGCGCATCCTCCGCTCCCTCGTCTGCATCTCGTCGCTCCCCGGGTTGCACCGTCTGGATGGCCTTGAGCGTCTCGGTGTGGTTGACCAGCTGCAGCGACACAAAGGCGAACAGCCGCGCCCGGCCGATCTCCTCGACCTCCCCCTTCGTGGGCAGCAGGATGATGGCGTGCTGCTGCTGCTCGAACGTCACCAGGCTGCCGCCCGGACCCCGGCAGCTGAGGCCGTGGTTGGGGCGGTGCCAGTTGATGACCCGGATCAGCGAATAGATGGCCCAGTAGAAGGCCCGGCAGACACAGCTCATCGCCAGGCGCTCCTTGACGGACTGATACGATGACACGTTGAGCCAGATGAGCCCATCCAGAAGGCTCGTGAGGCTCCTCGGCGCGGTGCGGCTGGATGAGTCATCACTCTGGGCTGGGGCGGCAGTGCGCGGGGCTTTGGCTGGCGGGCCGTCCATCGCTCTCAACACACGTACACCCACCAGAGATCAGCTATATAGCTACGCTGCTACAGCTTCCTGGAGATCCACACACGGAAATACCGAAGATATCATGCGTCAGCTGCCGTGCTGTTTCTCCCGACCCGCTTACAAGTTCCTGCGATGAATGTGCGGCTCTGCGGGTCCTCTTGTTGTCCTCTCTGATGGCGGGCGGCCCGTCGTTCTGTGACGCTGCTGATGGTTTGTCCATCCAGACTTGAGAATGCCGCTGCGTAGTCGACGATGGCGAAGGCTCACTCTCATTCATTCACCAGAAGGGCTCCTTCACCGCGCACCACCACACACAGTTTCACGATCATGATGCGTTAGGGTGCTGTGGCGAGGGCACGCATTTCGCCCCAGCACCTCGTCCCGTTCATAGTATTGTAGCCAGCTGCCTCGCTGTGTGTGTCGGTTCGCTGCATCTGTCCATCTGTCCATCTGACCGGCATGAGCGTGGCGCCTTACCGTACCACCGAAGAGGAGGACCCGTATGCCGACGTGGACGTGGACTACATCTACACCTTCAACCCCGAGGACGTCAACACCGACTGGGAGGGATACTACATCGACTACCAGGGGTCAGTCAGGGAGGGAGGGAAGGAGGGACCTAGGCATGTGGGTCGGGCCGGGGCTTGGCGCATGTCTGGCGTGCGGTGGATGGAGATCTGTGGTGTGTGGATGTGTGTGCGTGTGTGTGTGTGTGCAGGTTGCAGAAGCAGCTGCGTGCGATGATGCACGAGCTGGTGACGAGCGAGGCGGCCGGCAAGAAGAGGCTTGAGGAGTTCTGCCACAACCTGGGTGGGCAGGCAGGCAGACTCACTCACTCACAGGACGCAAACGCGCACACGAATGGAATGGCGGGGTGGGCCATGTTTGTCATGTTTGTCTGTCCAACCAGACCGAGAGATCGACAAATGCGTCTGTTTCTACGGTGAATGGCTGCACACATGGACGGGTGGATGAATGGATGTTAATATGTGTGTGTGTGTGTGTGTGTGTGTCAGAGATGGAGCTCACGTCGATGACGAGCCGCCTGAACAACCTCCGCGAGTACTGGAAGTTCCTCAGCCCCAAAATATACTCCAGCCTCTGTATGGGTGTACCCCTC